AGGAAATGAGAATACCTCTTAGCACTGGAAGAACAACAACATTTACTGGGCCTAATGAGGGGGAAAAAATAATTGCCAGAAGTCCAAGCATTTCTGTACAGTACCTGAGGATCAGGATTAACAGCAGTGACATGACTGAGCAGGACACAGGGAATTTCAGGAAGAGGACACAGCTGGTTTTGGAACTGATCAGCCAGTTCTGCCCTCTACCAGGTAACATCTGGAAGCCATGTATAGGCTAGAAATGCAGAAATCTGGTAAAAAAATGGGTGTTTCTTCTAGATCATCTTTAGTCTGCGAAGGTCAATAGTTACAAAGCACTGATGACAGCTCTGGGAACTTTCTGTCCTGTACCATGGCACCTGTAGCAGCTTTCTCTGTCTGCAGCCAGCCCTGCCTCTCACTTCCCACATCTGCACTTCAGATTCTGCAAAGCAAAGCCCTAGATTAGCTTCCCAAACCATCACACCCTGTGACCAGAGCTCTAGATCTGTCCCCTCACTCACAGAAAGCATGCTCCTTTCACGATCCTGGGTCCTATATCACTCCGTAAGGTCTCTACTCCCAAGCCCAAAGACACAACTGAAGGTCCCGCCACTGTTGGGGCTCCTGACCCAGCAGATGGGACAGGAGAGAAGATGCTGTCTGCAGCAGCTAGTTATACCCATCAGCTGTGTGGAAGGGCTTACACCACAGCTTGGGGACATGCCTCCACATAGACCTGACCCAAACAAAGCATCTCTTGGTGAGTGCACAGAGGAGACCAGCAGCACTGCCCTTTCTCCAGATATCTCAATACACTCAGACTGCTCAGCTATAAAGCTTCATCAGAGATGGTGACTGGTGAGTAAATAGCAGTATTCACCTAGTTGCAAGACACTGGTGTAAAATAACCGGCTCACAGTTATCAGTCAGCTGACAAATATTACTCCAAAGCACATTACATACCACACTTAAAGAGGGAGGAAATGCCATAAACAGGAGCATAAAACAGCCCAATATGAGACATTAATTTGTAAAGGGTTTCATAGGGATATAAATAAAAAGCTTTATTAATTTCAAGATTTTTTTTTTAAGATCGAGTCTACCATTAATGTTGTTACATTAATATTGCACTGCACTGCTAAATTACAGTTTCCCATCACTGAACCTCCCCTCTAAGTCCCTTTTTCTTCCAGATTGGTTCTTAATTAGTAGGACTTTGACAGAACAAAACTGGTGACCTCAGTGAGACCCAATTAGAAATTAACAGAATCAACAACCATGCAAAGCATCTTCTCTACAGCAGTTATTATCACACCTAGGAAGTGGAGCTCAAGCCTGGCAAGGACTGCAAAAACCCCCAAATCTAATGACAGAGATCATGAGAGATCACAGAAGGTGTGCCTGCCTCTGGCAGGGGGTTGGAACTGGATGAGCTTTAAGGTCCTTTCCAAACCAAACCAGTCTGGGATTCTATGATTCTGAGCCACCACAGAATCACTGTGTGATCAGCTCATACAGACCAGAACCATGCTGCTCTGCAGGGTGCTGGTGTGCCTAATTGGGAATGCTTAGTAGATTCTTAGAAAGCATACTCTGTACAAATCTAATTCCCATCAGACAGGCTGTAACTGCAGCTTGTCTGTCAGCATGCAAGTTACAAGAGGGGAGTGTACAAGAATTTGTTCTGACAGTAAGTCAAGAACCTAAACCATGCAAGGATGTTTGAATTTGCCTTGCTTTTATCAGTTGTCTGGAGGACAGAAATAAAACAACCCAAACTAAACCCCCAAAACCTGACAGAAATGGCAGCAAACATAGCAGAACCACTATATAGAGAGATAGATGCCTTCCTAGTTGAATAAGTCTCATTGATCTGCTAAGAACAGGAGCTTTTGCCTTGAGAAACCACTATTATATTTGTATTCATAACCATTAGACCTTGGGATAGAGAAATAAAATGTAACAAACAATAAAAGACACACAGATGACAGTGAGGTGTCCAGTAAATAAAAAGTTGATGGCTTAAAGGTCTGGAATACAGCTCAGCCCCAGTTAATAACAACTTGGAGAGGGGGGGAGCCCAAGCAAACTAAACCAAGAAAAATATCCTAGAAACAATCTGCAGTACCTTGATACCTGCAGATGCCTTGGTCCTATTCTTGGTGATGAACTGCACCCCAGCATTACAGTGTGACTCTAAAGCAGGCAACAAGCCAACATCAAATAACATCAAAGCCAACAAGTGACAAATGCACTCAGCATGTTCCATCACAGCAGGGTCAGGAATTAACAGGGGGCAAGCTGGGGAAAGGGATACCTTGGCTTGTTGATACTGATAGGGCCTTAAGCTCTTAGACCAGCAATCCAATGTCTGCTGCAAAAATCACAGTCATATAACAATGTGAAGAAAATTCATGGCAAACTGTCACTTTGCTATTACAACATATGAGTACAGATACACAAAGGCAGGCATTTCCATGTTAGCATCAAGCAGGCACAAATCTGGACCTAACAGTTTGTGTAATCTTGTACATACCCATCTTCAGCACTGGATAATACACTCTGGACCCTACACATTAAGAACATTAAAATATCAATTTATCATAATAACGTTTACACTACTTGGTATGGCTTTTTTAATAGAATCCAAACAAAGATTAAGATTACCCTACTTATAGCAAAGACATGCAACAAAACCACCTGGAAACCCAGTCCTATTTGGAGGTAAGCCCTGGTAAGTGTTGCTCTTCATGCCCCTCGGAGACAACTGGAACAAGAACCTGCTACAGCAAAATTTTGTTACCAGATTCAGTCGTTAAAAACTTCTATGTTAACAGTACAGCAAGAGCATGAAGACTTAAGTGTGAAGAATAAAATCAATCACATTTTTCTCCAACAATAGTGGAAAATGCTCAGGGAGGAATGGGGAGACAAGACTAGTTGCTGTTTCTTCCCTGATCTTCTCTGCAGCTGAATTTCTCAAAGATGTGTTGTGTCCCCACCTTAATCTCTGGTGGTGAAAGCAGAGCTTTACAAATGCCTTGGGAAAGCAAAACTGTCAAAAGTCATTGCTACAATAGAGCCTCTAATGAGATGAAACCTCAATTACACACAGTCCTACTTTGAGGAACACTGTCCAAATGCCTTGGATGTCCACTGCTGTACATACTAGCTGAGCTCAGTGTCAGGAACTGTAAATGAGGCACCAGAATAGCATTTACAGTTTATATATGGACTGGAAGCTCTCTACAGCTTGTTCCACCAACCTGTGATAAAACATATCCCTGCTCCAACCAAATGTTCAGAGCAGCCCGAGCTCACAGCTTCAAAAGTTTATTCATTAACTGCATAACACTTGATATGTATTTTGAGCATACTCAGTGCTCAATTACTTTGATGTTTTGGCCAACATCTCAGCTGAAACCAGCAGAGAGCAACAAGGCACATGGACAGAAGGCAGGTCAATCTGTCCTCCTCCATTTTCTTTACTCCATACAGCAAACATCTTGAATTTGGTTGCTTTACACAGAAATCAGCATTAGGCCCTTGTCCTAGGGCTTACTCCTGTCCTTGATCCTTAGTATCATTAGCCCTTGCTGCTCTTGCTGCCAGGCCCTCAAACACTAACGGCAAGGTTGCTTACTGTTTCGGGGCTGGGGTTTTTGGTACTGTGTTAATCATGACATTTGTTGCCAGCATCAATCATTTCCTTGCAGAAGCACTGCAGCCACAGCTGTCATACTCCAGGCTTTATGATACATCATGGGCAACATAATCTTTAATGCTCACAGGCAGGCAGCTGCAAGCAAAGAATGTTTGCTGCAGCCAAGTAAGGGAAGCATAAGGATGTTTTTAAACCATCTTTACACCTCTTCTGCTATTTAAACTTCACATGGTGTGCTCAGCAGGTGTGACTCAGATACCTGGGCCCCCCTAAGAACACCTGCTATTGGGTCTTCTCAGCAGAGAGGAAGCCTGGAGAATGAGCACATCCATTGCCATACTCCTGTTAACATTACCAGAGGTGAAGCAGGCAAAAATAGGGTAGAAAAATCTACTACCAGCTCACTAAGGCCACAGGTGTTGGTTTGAGACATCTGAGAGAAACTCACCAGCCTCAACAGAGCACAGGGCCAGCACCTCAAAGGTTATTCAGTCACAGGATGGTTACTCAAACAAATGACCCACAGGAGATCTGGGGTACACAAGGATTGCTGCTCCCCAGATGTACTTGGGTACATTTTCCAGCAAGTCAGCTATTCTGCATAGGTAGGATAGGCATTTATACCAGGCAGCAATAGCAATAATACCTAAAAAACTGTCTCCAGAAAGAGACATCTGCTCTGTGAAACAACAGAACCAACAAACTGGAGCCCAGAGCTGCTATTTCACAGCTCTGCTGTTTTCAGGATATGAGTTCATATCATCCCCTTCATTACACCTATATGTACTGGATTATTGGTTGTGTGCTATACCTCTCAGATTGGCATTCTATTGCACAGCACAGACTCTACCAGAACTGAGGGAACAGAGTCTTAGGTCCCGCCTCTGGGCCATGACTCCTGGGAGCCAAATAGCAAGACAATATTCCCTCTGGAACTTCACATAGTTAAAATAGAAAAGGAAAACCCATAATACATGATGAAGATGTATCTCCTCTGAATCCAGTTAAATTTCTGCACTGTGGGGTTACAGCCTCCAAAAATGTCTTACCAGCTAATGAGCAGCAGAGACAAAAAAACCACACCACAGAGAGCTGGTTTCTCATCTGCACTAAATCTAAATTCAGCATAACTGAGGACATCTTGAGTTGGCAATCAGCTGGAAGCAATCATTCAGCTCCCACAATACTGGGCTCTTTCCCCAGTCTAATTTAGAGCAGCACTTATGCTCTGTACTGCCTCACTGAAATTGGAGCTTGAATTGGCATAGCCAAGCCTGGGCCTCAGTGAAAACCAGTGGTCACTGCCTATGGCTGCTCTGCATGACTAGCAAGTGTAAACACTGCTACTCACTTTTATCTTCTGGATCTCAGTGCTGTTCTGGGCTGAAGACTCATCTGCTGGTGTTAGACAAGCATGTAGGGCCAAGCCACCCTCTCGCCAGGCCTGCCGCAGCCCTACCACCTCAAGCAGAGCTTTGGGTCCATCTTCCATTTCCACAGAAGGCACCTGTAAATCCATTTGAACATAATTTCATTTTTAGATGGCTGGATTTAGAAACTTAAAATAACCCTTTATCTTGCTCTGATGCTTTTGAGTAGAGGCCCATAACGTACAATAATCCAGGGAGCACTCATGCTTGATTTGTGGATTAACTGTGGTTTAGCCAGTAGAAAAATCAATAAAGTCCAAATTAAATAGGAATAACATGTAGGGTTTGATAAGTCATAGGATTTATTTTCTCAATGTGGACTTGCAAACTGACTTCCACCAGTTTCACTATGTGAAAGTAAGAATTTGCATTAGTTCTCCATTCTAGCAAGAAATGGGAACAGTCCCTGTCAATGCTGCACTTCATGTTCTTGTCACAGTGGCACCATGTGCTGCCTTTATTAATGGTAATGAGATTGAGCCAATCTCAGTTCAAAAATCAATGCTAAGTGGTTATGCTATTCTGGAGAGCTGGCACAGGATTCCCGAATAAGCCTTGGTCTTCCCTTTTAGTGATCACTAATAGCCAAAAACCCATCAATCCCTCTCCAGCAAATACACCTCTTAGACTGAGGTGTGTGTGGGAGGCAAACATTCTATTTTCCAATATAGACCCAAAACAAGAAGGAAAAAAGCAACTTCTGCCAACCCCAAAAAGAACTCAGGACATCTTTTATCATGATTATCAGTTTCATTCCAGAGATAGGGTTCGAACAGGACAGACCACTCATTGGCTCATAAGGCTGAAACATAATGAGCTTTACCATAGAGAATACACGCGAAACTTTATTACAGTGTAGAAGAGAGGCAGAAATCATACTTGAAACACTTTGGGAAAGCACTGTGTTGCTGCAAAGCGTCCTGAAACCTGGGGAGCAGGTGAAAGAGGGCAGAAGGATATGGGAATGTCAGACTAAGGCAACTGCAAAGCCACGAGAAAGGAGTAGCAGCCACTATGTGAGGCAGAGATGGCATGTTTGAATTACAGGAATGCAATTCCTTCCCTGGGTTCTGGTGAATACAGAAACCACTATGTCTTGTTCTCGTGGTTTATACCATCACCATGGTCTCTAGATGGATTAACAGCTCTGCTATTTACTGTATATATAAACCAAAACTATTTACAGCAAGTTAAATGCCTTCAGAAATATGTTCTCCCCACAGGATCCGAGTAGATACTCAAACTCCTGCATAGGTCAGCTCTACGACCCAAAATAGCACTCCCAAGTCCTTGACTGCTTTGAACACTGATTTCACATGGGAAATCCCACAGCAGCTCCACCACTGGGGAATGCTCCCATTGGGAAGGTCATGCTCTCAACTGGTAGGTGTCAGCACATCTCCAATGAAATCAATAGATACGCTGATTTACACAAGCCTGAAGGCCAGTGAATCAGTAGAGGGGCATGAATTCTGACTGGATGAGAATCTGGGGTAAATATGCCTCAACCTTTCCACTTCTTTCAATTAAAGACTTTCTCATTGCTACCCAACAGCTGTTTGAGAACCTCTCTGAAATAAATCAGTGGAGTTTAGCCTAGTTTCTCCTGGGCACAAAGTACATCACAACATTTGACCCTGCAGTCTTAGTAGAGTGATGCTGAGCCCTGGAAGATGAGATCCCCCTTGGAAAGAGCTGCTACAAGTCAGAGCTCAGGTTTAAATGGGAATAACACAAGGGAAGAAAACTCATGCTGCAGCTGGTCATAAGCTGACTAGTTTCTGAATGGAAGATTCAGGCTCTGGTGCTGCTGAAGTGATGATTTTCATTAGCACTGAACTAACATGAAAATGTTAGCAATGTTCTGATGGAAGTGTGAACATCCTTAACAATTAATACTGTTTAAGTGGAGTTTAAGTGATTTAAAATCTTTGTCTGCTCAGGATGAAACCTACCTGGAGTACACAGGATGGGATTGGTATTCCAAGGTCTTTAACCAGGGAAAAAGAATGAGGCCAATGTGCAGGAGGAGAAATGCATGTACACCTGTTCTTCCTAGGGGAAAAGGCTAATATAGGATAGATGGGAAGAGTGAGGAAAAGGTGGTTCCTTTAGAGAAGAAAAATATGTGATCCAAAGGACAATTAAGATGAAACAGACCACCACTTGTTTACAGCCCTCTTGACTGTCAGAGAGGATCTATTCTTAACCGGAACAAGTGGTAAAAAAATAGGCATTTGTGTGCATCTGCTTCTTGTGCCAAGGACAAAGTACAGCACTTCCACAGCCCTCTACTTGAGTAGTCCTTTCTGACCACTGTGAGTCTGGCTCAGCAATGTTTTACTTTTTATGCCCTGCTCTTTGTGAACTACAGGCACAATCCAGCCCCCCGATTTCAGCAGGACTCATTTACTGAATTTAAAGTTAGAACATAATTTTCCCTTTGTTCAGGCACTGTTTGGTAGCTGTTGGAAGAAGGAGATTTCAAGAATGATTATGTATTCATCAGAGGGCAAAACACAGCCTTAATCATGCAGAATCTTTTGTGCATTTTCACCACGGGTACTCACCAGAGAGAGCAGCCATGTCACAAGGGTCTGGCATATGTTGGCTGTTCTCAGCATCATGGCAGGACTCTGTTCCCTGTGCTGATCTGTAGCTACTTCGCCACAACTTGAGAGCCGAACGGTCGGAAGCAGCATCTCATTTTTCATACTGTGTGGTCTAGGCAACGTGTCAATAGCTGGCAAGTAAGAGGCTTCCTGTCAAAAAATAGTATGAAAATGGAAGTCATTTGGATTACTGGAACTGTATTCATCATTATGAACGAATGTAATTCATTGCCAACAGAGGAGGGGCAATTAATACCTAGTGAGCATTTATCAAAGAGGAAGCATGAGCCGTAAAAGCTAGGTCATTATATCAGTGACACCTTCCTGAGCACTTCAGTTTTTCTTGAAGAGCTGTCACCTGGGACTTCATTTAGTCAAATCCTGCTTGGTGAATGGAAGAGTGCATGGTCACAGCTGGAAATAGCCTGATCAGTTTTATTCTGTGTTCTTTAGGATTCAGGGGTTTTTCTTTTTATTAAGATCAGTGAAATGACTTCAAAACAAGCTGGTTGTATAAAAACTTCCATTGTTTTCTGCTTCGTATAACATACCTCATTTCACAGACCATGCTACATTTAAGTGAACTCTTCTCCTTTCTTTAGTATCAATATGTAGTTATTAAGGATGCAAATTTCCTCTCCTTTTAGAGTCTTGTTCTCCAAGAAACAACCCCTAGCTTGACTCATGGGGTTACAGTTTATGGGATATTTTTGTTCTCCCAACGATGCTGGAGCTGCAGCTGTAACTATTGGCTATTCCCATCTATAGTCAATGTGCTGCCCCACAGTTCTATTGTAAGTTAAGAAACTAGACCTTAAAATCACAAACATTTTCCAGTATGCACAGGTGTATTACTCCTCAACAGTTATGATCATAGAATCACTGATTTGGGCGGGAAGGGACCTTAAAGCTCATCTAGTTCCAACCCCCGGCCACAGGCAGGGACACCTTCCACTAGAGAAGGTTGCTCCAAGCCCTGTCCAACCTGGCCTTGAACACTGCCAGGGATGGGGCAGCCACAGCTCCTCTGGGCAACCTGTGCCAGTGCCTCAGCACCCTCACAGGGAAGAACTTCTGCCTAAGAGCTCATCTCAATCTCCCCTCTGGCAGGTTAAAGCCATTCCCCCTTGGCCTGTCCCTACAGGCCCCTGTCCAAAGCCCCTCTCCAGGTTTCTGGTAGCCCCTTTAGGCACTAGGAGCTGCTCTAAGGTCTCCCCTTAAGGAGCCTTCTCTTCTCCAGGCTGAACCAGCCCAGCTCTCTCAGCCTGTCTCTGGGCAGAGCTGCTCCAGCCCTCACAGCATCTCCGTGGCCTCCTCTGGACTCGTTCCAACAGCTCCACATCCTTCTTAAGTTGATCCTTCAGTAAAGACCCTCAAGACCCCACAAGCATCCTGAGTGCATGTATTCTACAGGCATGGACACACATTCATTTTGCAAACAGCTGTTCATGGTGTTGACTTTTCCTGGGTTACTTGTTACAGGATCAGCTGAGGGCACGCTCTCCATCAGAGAGTCAGCAAAGTGCGACACAGCTGCAATCCCTGCACATGTCAATGCAATCAGCCAGACTAAACTGCTCATTAAAGCGAGCAGAATTCATCCAAAATAACCTACCATAGTATGAGACTGGCAAGCACCCCTTTCTGTGAGCTGAGCTGTGGAACACCAAAGGAGCACAAAAGGAGCAGAAGCATGGTGAGGAGCAGCTAAGCAGTTATGTTCTCAGTTGTTCCACGTAGCCCTTAATGAGGATGTCTGCCTACGCCTTTACACTGAATTAACCTTCATCTGATTTACCTGAATTTACTTTGGAAGCTAAATCCAATTAAAGCCACTTTAATTCTGAATTAAAACATCCACAAAGGTGTTTAATGACTAATCCACTTGACAAGTTCATGTAGCTTGTAGTTCTCTGCCTGTCCTCATAACAGATGATTCCTTAAAATGGTTTGCAAGAAAAGATATTCCTAAAAAGCCAAAAGCAGATCTATGGTGTCATTCAGTGGTTTGGTGCAGAAACCCCTGCCACAGGCAAAGCACTGCCTGCAAGGACCAAATAAAAACTGCAATTAGTAATAAAGGAAGAACAGTTACACACATTCTTGGCTGCTGCAATGTGTATTACTCATGTTACTGTAGTCCTGGGGAGCTCACTGAATCCATCAAGGCTTTGAGCCTACCAATGTAATTCCCTGAGGAAGAGGCCTTAAAAGAAACTCTGAGACTTTCAGGAAAAGATTACCTCCTTTGTATCCTGTCCTGGTGATAGACTTCTTTGTCTCTCACCAAGGCTGTGGGGATCAATGATAGGGAGGAAGTCAAGAGCTAAAAATTAAACCAGTATCTACTGATGCTTCAGCGGGAAATTTCTAACTCATTTCAAGTTTGCTTGGCCCAGCAGCAGGAAGGGCTCAACAGGCTTCTGACCAAGCCCAGATAAGAATTTTAC